TAAACACCATTCCCACATTTCTTATTGCAGGAATCAAAAGAAAAGAAGCAGTGGTAAAAATGGAACAAGTAAATCTCCAGGACCACTTCATGTTGGAAGCAAAAGCATTACATTTTCTTGTGCTGAATGCAGCACACTCACTGTGGCTCTGGACAACATTCTGGCCTCTAACACTTCTGCAGATATCTACAATATGTGCTTAAGTCTCAGTCAAAGCAGTATTTAGATATGTGCTGGATTTAAATATGGAAATCAATGCAATAAACTGACATTTCATTCACCACTTGTACACTCACCTCTGTTCTTCCATATAAAGATCGCCAATTTATAACATTCCTGATATTACGTAATCTTTTTCACTTACCCTCATTTTGCATTATTCTCAACTATAAATGTTTTTGAACATTGTCTACAAGCTGCATGCAGAAGTTCCCTTTAACTTTAGGCTTCAGCAACTCAGCTTCAAATACTATGGAAACCAGGAAGCCTAATAACTCTTGACAGTTTACATAAACTCAATAGCTATTCCACTGAAATCTGATGGGAAATGTTGCAGTCCTAATATTCAGATCACTACATGAATTAAACAAGGATTTGATTCACTTTCTAGAAATAATTATTTTCAGTTTCATTGAAAATGCACAATAGCCAATTGCCTAAAAAAAACCTGGAAATATAGTCAACTCAATTTTTAAGAACTCTTTAGTTGAGGAGTTATTCCCCTCCCTCCCTCCTTGATCAAATTAAGGGAAATCTTACAAGCTTGTGAATCACTATTTTAGTTTCAATTTAGATCACTGATTTAGCAAACTCTTTCAGTTTAAAATACATGTTCAAGTAATTTCACCCAACCAAATGCAAAATACTTTCCTTCACAGCTGCCCAAAATAATACAGGATTTGAGCTCTCTTAACTCTTACCCTCCTAACTCGAAGGGGAAATTATGATTGCATACTGAGAGTCATTACGATGATTCCAGCCAAGTTAAGAAAAATCCCACTAGTTTTACTAGTCCACACTGACACTTTCCAAGCAATAATGGAGACTCCGGATCTTTCTGTAGATAAGACTTTCGTAATGAAGCTGAGGAGAACTCTGTGCTGTCCTTGCTCAAGCGTACAGATAACCATTTCAAACTGCAGCATTTCATACCTAATCCAAAGTCTGCAGAACTCAGTGCAGTTCTATTTACTGCAAATTGTTTGCAGTAGGAAAAATGTTTGTCTAAGCCAGCAGGAAGAACCTGCTTTTATGCAGTGCTAAGGCATTGCTGTAGAAAAGCATAACAGAATCTTTTGAAGATGTAAAGCTTCATTTTGACCCTAGACCACCAATTAAACAGGAGCTTCACCATATGTTAGTAACGCAGGATCTGAGCTTAAAATCTGTGAATGTCTCTGCATCTCTTACCTGTCTACCAATTTCTTGGTATTTTGCCTGAATAGGCCAGCTACGTCAACTACTCTTTATACTAGGAATCACTGACTCCTTTAAAAAACTATCATCACTCCCAACTTAAACTCTCACACTTTCCAGGAAAGAAAACACTTGATTAGATGCAACATATGAAAACAATATTAGAATACTGTTTCCATATGCAGTGAATGCAAGTATCTGGTAACTTTCACCTATTACAGTTCACTTCCTTGGACATTACACTTAATAGTACCAAACCCTACCTCACTGCCTGGAGCTTTTGTTGTGTTAAGATGCAGCTCTCCCTCTGTAGCTGGGATCTTTTTGCTCCTGCATTTGCCAAACTTTTGCTTTAGATCTGAAGTGGGCAGTCAAAGCCAGCAACCCATGTTATGAATAGGAGATAAAGATGCTCAGATCTGACATTTGTTCACCAGCATTTTCCTAGTAGTTTCACAGCAAGACAAATGGCATGTAACAACAATTTCCTGTACTTACTAGGAAATTGCCAGGCATCTTTTTTTCCTCTATAATTTTGTACAACTGCTAATACAAGAATATGTACACAAATCAAGCATGACAGTTACACTGATGTAACCTAAAACAACACTCAAGCAGCTCCTTAAAACAAAAGTAAATAATCAAGGTATATGTGATAAGTGCTGAAGGATATCTTCTGCCTCCAGATAGATCTCCCTTCCCACTGTATCTTGTAGGTTTTAAGAGTTCTCAGTACTTCCACTGTCATGGTTCATTTTCAGCATGAGTGATTCATTTTACACACAAGGAAATCAAAGGAACAAGAAAAAAAGGTAAAATCATAGAAAAAGATGCAAGTGTATGTGTGATGCTGTAACCACTCTGGAAGCAAAAAAGGTTAAGTTTCTTTAATGTTTTATGTATTTAGTAAATTAAATCCCTTTCTAAACAGCACACCTTTTGTGATACTTCACTGATACTTCATAATAAACTCTACTGCAATATCTGAAAAGTATGCAACTGTGAAAAAAAGCACTTCTATGATGATGGGATGTGTGAGGAATACACTCAGGAACAGACTAATGTTGTAATGCCTTTGTATTAAGTGACAAGACAGCCCATAGCAGACTGTCTGTGCAGCACTTGCCACCTGATATCCTGAAGCGTGCTGCAGAAGCACTGGGAGAACAGAAGTCGGAAGCTTCTGTCTCTGTACCTCATGGTGCAGGAACATGATGATATGCAATTAAGCTAAGGGTGCGAAAATCAAAACTGACACAAAAATATCTCTCCATAGTAACTAAACTGTGAAACTCAGCGTTACCAGAAGTCGCCAAATCCAGCAACAAAACTTACAAGGAGGAATGCAATATTTATAGAGTTATCAAGATTATCACATTTTCGTGCTATTAAATGCCATGTAGAGTGATTTAGGCGAGTATGTAACTACTGGGAAATACAACAACAGTCAGCATGGAAAGTTATAGGTAGGTTCTTGCATCTTGTTCTGAAGTACCTGGCACAGATGCTGTGACAGAAAAAATGGAACTGAGTTCTGAAATTATATAAATAAGAGGATAAAAATATTGCATATTTTTCCCTAATATATACATTTAATTATTATCCTTACTGCATCAGTCCAGCTATGTAAAATGCAACTACACAGAATATTATTTTATTTTGATAGCTTATTGACTAATACGGCTTAATTTAGAGATTTCATACTTCCATTTGCAAAAAAACAAACAACGTAACGAAGACTACTAAGATTACTATTAACAACAAAAACTGACAGCCATTTGTGTGTGCTCATGTGTGTGCGTGTTATGTACAAGAAACACTTTTCTTTCAACACCAGAATTTTTACCAGATCCTTTTTTATTTTGTCATGTGTCAATTTAATTGCAAACATAGTGTGCACGTGTGACTGTGTGAAAATAATGGTAACAGATGGAAAAAATGTATACTCTCTCTTCCTAATGTTTTCCCCAGTGCCCTATTTAGATTGCTATCTAATATTTCTTTAGTCATGAATATTGTTGTTCTAGCATAGCCATCTTCTGTTGTCTGTTTTCACTTACACCATTCTTGGGTTGCTTTTTGAGCATTTTTTTTAATAAACCCAGTTCAACTAGTAACTCATCACATGCAGATCAGCTAAGTGAGAAAAAGAAAAGGTCAAGACAATCAGGAAAATTCTTAAAGAGGATTATTTTAGTGCAATCAAGAACTTCACTTCTACATCATTACCATTTTCTGTTTGAAAGTCATGCTTTGCAATCTCCTATTCCTGAAACACCTTAAGAATACATTTAGTTTTTTTAATCATGGGTTTAATATATTGTAAAAGCTGTCTCAGAAGCTTAATACTAGACATTTCTTCCACTTTGACTTATTACAGTTTGATACATTCCTTTGACAAAGGCTTGTTCAGCTTGGAGAAGTGAAGATTGCGAGGAGACCTCATTGCTGCCTTCCAGTATTCAAAAGGAGATTACAAATAGGAGGGGAATCAACTTGTTACAAGGGTAAGCAGTGACAGGACAGGGGGAATGATTTTAAGCTCAAGGTTTAGACTGGATATCAGGTGAAACAGGCTGCCCAGAAAAGCTGTGGATGTCCTATCCACTGGGGTGTTCAAGGCTACTTTGGATGGGGCCCTGGGCAGCCTGGTCTAGTATTAAATGGGGAGGGTGGTGGCCCTGCTTGTGGCAGGGGGGTTGGAAATTCATGATCCTTGAGGTGCCTTCCAACCCAAGCCTTTCTATGATTCTGTAATTTTGTGACCTAGCTTAGATTCTATGCTATTAATGAACTTCCCTCTGAATCAAAGTGGAGTGGGAGCATCACAAAGTGAAGGCAGGCTCCAGAATGCATTTTTTTGCACAGTGCTTTATCCTCAAAAGTTGGAACAGAGGTGCACAAAAATTATATTTCTATACTCAATTTACTCTTAGTGCTGAGGTAAGCTTTTCATTTCTGAATACTGTGCCAATTAGGCTCAAGCTTATTAGCAGTCATTCTTACTTAGAGATTACATTTTACTTACAGTAAATTCAGCAGTCTAGAATTTGTCCATTTACTGCTTTATTTCTGGCTAGTAGAAGAGTATTCCAAGTTATTGAGCCAGACCTTCACATTTACAGAGAAGTTTTACTCAGTATTCAATATGACTGGCAAAATGCGCCCTGAAAATAATTATTCCAATTTTATATTTTGGAAAATAATAAGTTGTGTTTCTGCATTAAAATTACCAAAAACATATGCTTCACTGTTTGCACACACAGACATTCACACTGCTATACAGACTTTCTTAAAACTGTAGCAGGCCTCTTGGATGATTTTCCCTAACTGAACACACAAATGGGTTAAACAGCAAATTTAGGATTAGAAACAAAGATTTTTCAATTCCAGCAGAGAACTGAGAAAGTTCAGTAACATTAAAAAATAAGTAAAACATCTATTGCCAAAAATAACAATTATTCTAAAAACAACAAGCTTAAAAGTTTTAGTTATATAGCAAAATTAAAGCAAAATGGGTGTTAAAACCAAACAGAAAAGCATTTATGTCAATATATTTCTTTGAATATTTTCAGCAATATTACCTTTCCTTTAGGGGCACCCTGAGAAGCTTCAGCAACTGTAGCACAGTATGTATAAGCCAAGGCTGAGCTTCTGTGTCACTCAAGAGTGACGGTAGTTGAACATAAGGTGAAATCAGCTAAGAAAGCTTTGAATCACATCTATTCCCTCTAGACTCTAATGCTGTTTCAGCACTGAAGGCTTCTGTATTTTGATGGCAAAATCAACACGGTTTGGGCTTTTCCAGGTATTCACATACAGCCTTATATGTTCCCCACGGTCTCTCTTCTCTGAAATGTAGAAACAATAAACAGCAGAGAAATGGTTTGTGAAACTTTTTTCTCATGGATGACTTTTCCTTTCCACTTTATTTCAGCAGTTTGTGATTCTGCCATAACTTTGTTAAACTTTTCAGGTCCCAGGTACTTCCACTTCAGCAAGATTCTGTACAAGGGAAAAGACGGTATTTAGACTGACTTTGAATGTCCTTGCAGCTGTGAAACGTGGATGGCAGTGCTGCTGGAACAAACTCTCTTGTGAGGTTTCCTGTACTTTCTGCTTGCAGTATTGCCAAGAATATTCGTAGGGCAGCTTTTTCACAGTAACTTGGAATTTCACACTCAAGATGAAAGTAATGCAAAGGCAAATGAGAGGCAGAGGTTCTTTTTTTTTTTTCAAGAAAGAATATGTCAAGTTAGCTGTGTTAAATTCAAGAAATAAGCACCTTTAAGGAAATGAAAAGATTCTCTTTTTTTCCCCTTCCCTTCACCAACTAATAATTTCCTACGTAATATTTCTTTTTGCTTTTCCCTGCCATCCACCAACAGTGGCATAGAAGTTGTTTCTACTTTATCTGCTATTTATTTACTGGCATTCACAACTTCTCTGAAAAAAGGTTCAAAATCATCCAGTCTGTAGATTTCATAGTGCCTCTGGATCTCCACTTGGAGGTAGAAGTAATTGAAGTGGTGCAGTAGCACAGCTCGCTTATGCACATTTGTACACGGACTGTCCCATCTTGGCCTGTGAAAATTAAGTCCTATAGGACTTTATCCTCTATGTGTTTAAGCACTCCGCATCAGGTATTGTATTGTATTTTAACCACAAAACAGGAAACAGCACTGCAGTTCTGCTCCTCGCTACCTGTAGCAACCTACCAAAACAGCTTCCATTCTCTGTGAGTGAAATTGCTCACTTGAGAAATATTTTCGTCTTCAGCCTCTCCAAGGACATCTGTTTAACTTATAACTTTTTTAAAAAACACCTCTTTGTCAGCAGCTGAAGAACAGGAGATGTGTTAAGAGATGGTTGCGTGACTGCTCCTAAGCTCTTGCATGCACTGTGCCTCATGCCAAAGAGTTACAGCACTTTGGTCCTGCATGCAATATTGTTTGTGGCATAACCACAAAGACAGCTTCCAAGCCCTGTAGATTTAATGAGTCTGAGCACACTTTTCACAATCCAATGTGTAGCAGATAGAATCTGAGACAAAAATTCAAAGCTTCATTTTCTAAGGACCACATGGATAGAGAGGGCCTAATGCTAGTGACAAACACTCAAAGGCCTTAGGAGAAGACTTAGCAAATTTTTTAATGGAAAAGTAAAGGTTCCTGAATTCTAGGATAAGGTTGCTTAACACACTCTTAACTCTTAACATTCTTAACAGACTCTTCTTGCTGCATACTTTGCACGCTGTGCTAATATCATTAAGATATTGCTTGCAAATCTCTTGGCTTATCTTTTATTGCCTAGCACTAGAAACACACATAGACAGTAACTGAGAATACATCATGTTTAACAGTCATCTACTGATGGTGTAAAAATTCAGATGAATTCTTTTGCTGTTTGGAGGTCTTCCTTCAAACAAATGCAGAATTGAATGAAGCATCAACAGCTCTTCTGCTTCACAGAAACCCATTGCAACTGTCCAGCAAATGATGTACATTTTTCATAGGCCAAGAGTGTAACGCCACAGTCTTCATGAAGAGAACTCTGCAGATATCTTCTATCTCTTGCTTCTCTTATCCTATTATTCACCATCTCATATCCTAGAAGCGGTGAGGTCCAGCTGAACAATTCTAGTAACATGAATGCCTTTGCCAAGAGCTGACATTTTTCTCCAAGAGGTTAACAGAGCTGGTTCCACATTAAATACCAGCTTTATTCTCATGCTCCTCAGGTGCCTATTCATTATAGGAACTACAGCTAAACTTCTGAGAAAAAGAAAAGAAAGAAGTCACAATCTCAGTATTCATGGAGAATAGTAAAATAAATATATTACTTTTCAGGGAAGGACACAGTTTGGGAGGGAATGGGAATGAATCACAGTGAATCATTTTCACTCACTGAATATAGTACAGAAATGGTAGGGGGAGGAGAAGGGAGGAGTGTGAAGACATTTGCCTCTGCCGTTTTCTAAAGTAACAGCTAAAACTTCTTAGGACTCCTTTAAAGGCTGTATGAAATGTTTAGTGTGGATATACTTCCTGTGCAAACACAGTAAAGGGACAGCACACAGGAAAAAAAAACAAACAAACACACAGGCTGATTTAACAGTGGCAGGGAGTACTAAGATGACAGGCTTTGGGAAATAACATCCAAGGTCTGAGTGTTGTGCTTAGACAGAAGGATTGTACAAATCAACCTGCTAAATTACAAGGCAGACAGACCAACACAATTCAAAGGTAATAGAGAAGTGCTACAGTCAAGCACTTTCAAAGTGCGCAGGAAGGATTCTCTATCTTCTGTCAAGCAGAATTTAATGGAAGACAATTCTCTCTGTGCAGGCAAAGAGAATATTGGTATCCCCACATAAACCCATATTAGTATATATTCTTATCTTCTGCATGGGATAGCAATGGCTATGGAGCTGCTGTGTTGGCTTAAACATATTGATACAAAATCACATCAACAAATTAAAGGTGGTATAAAACATTGAACGGGACTAAAAAGTACAAGCTAACTGACCATGATGTAAGAGTAGAGAAACTTCTCACCTAAAAAGCAAATGTCTTTATTTAATGCAAGTATACTATGCATGTCTTGCCAGGATCAATTTCTGTACAGTACAAGCTAACTATGGGAAAGAAGAAAATCTCTTTTTAAGTTTTATTTTAAAACAATACTGATTTTAATTTAAGAATTTTATGAGACCATCTGAATAAAGTATGTTTTGGTGAAAGTAACCTTGGTCATTCTGGAGAGAAAATACCTTCAAGAAGATAAAAAGGGAATCTGGCATATTCTAAATTAGAGTTCCTTCCAAGAGAATGAACTTTTGTTTTTCTTTTTCACAACCAGTGCTATGTGTATGTCTGCACTGTGATGACATGAACAAAAAGATTATGATGAAGACGGATAAGAACTGAAATTTGAAGGGATAAAAGTGATGAGAAGACCAGCACGTAGCCTAGGATTTCCATTATGAGTTTTCATACATTTCCCCAGTTCTGTAGTTCTTGGATGAAGAAATAAAGGCAGCTCTCTCTGGAGAGACTGCAGAAATTTCTGTAACATCAGTTAACAGTGTTTACCTAAGTCCATTTTTCACTGACTCATCTCCACACTGAACTGCTACAAGTTGGCCTCTGCTCAGGATGACAGCTTGGCAGGAAGCAGATTCCTCTCTTTGCTCAAGGTCTTAGTTACTCGCTAGGGCCAAGTTCTCTAGCAAAGCTGGAAAACGTGCCATGAAGTAAAACTCAGTTTGTTTTTCTTTTTTTTTCTTGGTCATAAAAAGAAGTCGTTGCCCTGCACAACAGAAGATGCAAGTTAGGACAGTGCTATGATTCAGAACGGGTAGGCAGAAAAGTATGTGCTGGATGCAGTACGCACGTTGGCCAGCCCAGCTAGAACAAACCAAATGGAGAATGGTTTGCTGACAACATGAATGCTCCCTACCCAGAGGAAGGGAAAGGAGAGCTCCTCTTAGTGCTCCTTACAAAATTGAAGCTAAGAGCCCCAGAAAGGATCACACCAGTCTCCTCCTCCTCCCACACAGTCATTTAATTTAAAATAACAAGAATTGCATCTTTCTTTTAAAAAATATCTACAAAGTGCATACACATTGAGACAGGTTATTCTTTGTTGGAGAATAGCACTTGAAGTAGGAGCTTTTTGTGTTTGGTCTTAGCCTACATAAATTCAAGGGGAATGCCTGAAAAATTATAATATGGTATGAGGACCAGATGGCGAAGTTAGAAAGACAGATTAGAAAGTGGGTGCACACTTTTAATGATCTGTGTAATTAAACATTGGAACAATTTAGCAAAATTGCAGTGGATTTTCCATATGGTTTAACATGTTTTGTACTTGGACTGCTTCATAACATGGTATCTTGTAATAAGTTTGTAAACAAAGTTTGGTAACAGACTTTTGCCTCAACTTGCAGCAAGTGCAGGAAGAGATTTAAAATTATTAAAAGGAAGGCTAATAAAAATATATTATTATATCCAGGTAATCGTACCATCATACAATACACGGAGATTTCAAGCAATTTCCAAAAGGAATTTTTTCTCTAACTCAGTTAGAAAAAGAAGAAAAATAATACCCATAAGAGTTTTATAATTAAAGCCAAAGATTCATTTCCGTTTGAAACAGATGGTCAGGCAAAGACATTCTGGATAATTTAGCAAAAGCTTGTGCTTCAACTAACTAACAAATTGCCATTTTAATCTTTCATCTAGTTGCACAGGCTAACCTATTTATTGTGTATGACAGATCAGGAAATATCTGCACTGCTTCAAAACATAAACACAGAACCAATACAGATTGAGAATTACAAACAGAATTACTATTTTTAATGGAAATAATGAAAATAATTTATGATTGCAAATGAAGAGAAAGACAAAAAAGACACACACAGTAACAGAAAATGAGACCAAGAGTTGAGGGAATTGGGAAAAACCCACCAGGACTGTAATGAATAGCAGATATCTAAAGTATCACTGAGATCTTGCAGTGTAAGTTTATATACAGTTTATATACATTGAAACACAACTCTTTTTTTCTTTAAAGTAAACTATGGAGCTATGATATTTGTACACAGTTAGATCACTGGATTGATAAATCTTCATGGCAGCACTAGAAACAAGCTTTCACATCTGAGAGTTTCTTTCTCAGGAGACAATGAGGGAGAGAGTTGTTGACACGCCTTTACCTCTGGGGATAAAAGCAATTGCTGGTGATACTACACCCTCCAACAGTGTTTCTTACATCTCCCTCCCTAATTAAATAAATAGCCATTTTGGTTTACTGCTGTTGCACCAACACTTGTAATTCATGAAATACTCATTTAAGCCAGTAAATATCTCACCTAGACCTGTGAATAGCAAAGTGTCAGGCTTGCCCTATTTTTCATTATTAAAGCTTACAATGTTTTTTTGTCACTGTGGATACCCTTGTACACAACTGTACTTTTGTTTCTATTTTCAGAAAGTACCAAGTGAAAATATAATGTGAATGAATGGACGAAATGATATTGTGATGTAGTTACAGACAGAATAAATTACAGAATTAGAAGACAGTTCTACAAATATATTGGATATTATCCTGGGGAAAACATAACTCATCTTGTATTCAGTTGAAAGTCTTAGGACACAAGTTATTAAGTAGCCCTGAGTATTCCTCTACTCTCCACTCCTCCCACCTAGAACATGGACACAGTTAGCAGTGTATTTTAGAACATAGTCTTCACCCCCTCAATCCATTAGCATCCATTAGCTCTCTTCATCTCCAAATTCAGTATGCAGCAGCTACACAAAGCAATTAAGAGACAGCCAGTAGTACCTGCATTCTGATTTAACTACTGCTGCTACAAAACTCTGGTGGAGCACATCTGATGAAGTGTTTGAGGAATGCTGACCTTATGGTTTAAACATCAGGCTACAGCTCAGGACATTGGGCTTTTGCCAGCCTTTGCCAATGACTTCCTCTGTCACCTTGGAACAACCTGTGTCTCATTTTCTGTAGGTAAAACAGGGACAGACATAGTGCCCTGCACTGTGAACTGCAAGGGCAGATTTAGTAAGCGTACAGTAAGTGCTCAAAACCAAGAGTACGCACAGTGAAGGAGAACAGTTGAAGAAAAAACTAGGTAGCACATCACATTAAATGCTTCAGCAAGACAGAGCAAATTTCATCACTCAGCAATGATATATCACCAGGCATACTCAGAACCAAGAAAATCAGAATGAAGATTTGTCCACGGCTATGGAAAGCAGCTATCTTATGGCACTGAATATTCACTTACATGATCAAAATGTACAGTTTGGAGAATGCAGCTGTTAGAACACTCATCTTGCATGCTGCCCTGAAGCGTGTCTGAGTAAATTTAATACATGTGGTTTAAATAAGCGCAAATGAAACAGGGACTATTCCCATGAATCATGAAAAGAGAAAAAGTGAGTTTTGAAAAATTTACACCTTAGAGGAGGAACTCTGTATCTTCCCTGAATTATAAGCATGGGTGCTATTAGGTTATTTTGGGGATATAAAGTATAATAAGTGTATTTGATATCCTCTCTATCGATACAGTTTCATCTTCTGTATTGCCCAGAGTGCTTTTGGAAAAAGGCTATGGAACTTGAAATAAGGAATGGAATTGCTCTGAAAAAATCTCCAAGTCCTTTTTTCAGGGAAGTTTCAAAAAAGTTTTTCCAAGTGCAAGAATTAAAAACACAAGGGGTAAGAGATACACTGAACAACAGATGCACAGATCTGAAGCCCTTTCCCTTCCCGGGCTCCCAAGCTGGGAAGTGCCATCCTGAGACCAAAGCAGCAGGGGATGCTCTAGGCTCAGTACTGCCAGCAGGGCAAGGTTTGAACATTACTGCTGCCATCCACCACAGGAGATTCAGGCTCCCTACACAGTTTGGTGCAAAATTGTTTTGCTGTTTGAACTAAGCAATCAACAAGCTACTGTAACTCTGATGGTGCAAACAAAGCATACACCAAATTGCACTGGCAAAAAGCTTATCGGTTGGCCTTCAATGTAGCGGTTAGAGATCATGATGAAATGGAAAAACTTTCATGGGAATGAGTACTGCGTCCAACCCATGCAAAATGACTGCAGACAAGATGTGCAGGTGACACAAAGGCTGGTGGAGTGATATACAGCAAGGGGTCAGGGCAGCCACAAAGTGATGAAAGTTACTTGATAAGTTCAGTAAACTTCATAAATTCAACAGAATGTGTTTTACTAACGCTCCTGAACTGATGCACAGAATGAATATAACAAGGGATAAAGGTGTACTAGAATTAATGGTTAGGGTGGTGAAAACCCTTAATTCAAGAGTCACAGAGGGCATGCATTTTATCAGAGGCAGAGGTCTACACCTTACTACTGAGGAGGTGGTATTTGTTCCTTCATACAGCTTGAATGAAATTAACACTGTAATGTTGTATTCACCTCTGACATTCATATTTCTCTACCAAAAAACTGAAGAAGGTGTGCAAAAAAGCCTCAGTTTCTGGAGAACTGGAGAAAGTGCCATACAATGCTATAGCAACACTGTAAGGATCCCAACTGTTTGGCTTCTTTTTTTTTTAAAGTTAAAGATTGTGTACAGATGTATAATCAAAACAGGAAAACACCAGGTGCCAAAGGACTATTCAGTCTTAGGAATAAATGCATCAAAAGGCAGCACACTGTAGCCAGAAAAAAAAAAAAAAATAGAAAGGAGTTACACATATTTTTTAACTCAGATATTAAATATTACAAGAGATGTATAATGGGAAGTAATAGATTTTTAAAATTCTTTTCTGCTTTTAATCACATCTGGATGCTTTTTTTGAAGTTTAGCCAAGTAACTTTTATCTTCAGTTAAATAGAATTTACTAGGTTTAAGTAATTAAATAGGAATTAAAATACAGAAAACAGCAACCCAGTAAGCTTGTGTTGTTAGCAAGACACTGCATTTGAGAAGTCTAATGTATAAACCTGTGTACCTCTTGGCAGCAATCATGACAAATTTGAGAAAGACATGATTTTAGCTGGACTTCAAGGACTGTCTTCTACTACAAGTCCTGATGCTGGCCTTTGCAGGAGTGGATAAGAAGGAAACAGATGTCAGTGATATCTCAGTCTGCTGAACCTGCAATAGAGAAAATCTTCTGATTTTAGTACAACCCCAAGTTCGTGAAACTGTGGAAGAAAGTTGTAGGAAAGAAGGTACAGAAACCAGAAGATGTACTGTTTCATTTAAACTTGTTCTGTGGAGCTTGGCACACTCACATGCTAAAAAGCTTAATGACTTCCATGTTAATGACTCGCTAGCTTGACCTGTGAGAAGTTGAGAAGAGTGGTGGGAGTGGAAGCAGCATGACATGTTCCTCCCTTACAGAAACCCAGAGGAGGTTTGATGTAAACCAGGCACATTTTGTTCTTATGCTGCTGTTCAACACAGGAGGGTGCCAAGCACATTTTCACATTGATATCAAAAGCAAAATTAATCATTTGGCCCTTTTTCCTTTCAAAGAGAACTCAAAAAATCTAGTGGCAGTACAAATCTCAAAGAAACTGAGTTTAAAGAGAGCAGCTGCAAGGTTGTGAGTCGCTGAAGGCATCGTGCAGGCTGGGGCTGTATGCTCTTTCCACGGCCCTGCAAACTCTTGTTTGTGGAGATTTACTTTTATTTTACCCCATGCCTACAATGGACACCCTTCTCTGCTGCCAGAACAGTATGGAAAAGATTTCAATGTAATTTTCAAATCCTTGGTAGCTACACGCACAGTAGTAAGAGATCAATTATTCTTGTATACTAGAAATTGATCTGGATAAGAGAATGCTCAGAGATTACTTCAAGAGCATAAGAAATTTGGTAAAGATAAACAGTACTGAACAAAAAGCTTCAACATTTTCCTTGTCAAAATTAATTCTATTCACTCCATGCAAAGTGATAAAATGTAATGAAATTTGCTGATGAAAACTGATGAACTAATCAATACAAAAAGAGGTGTGCTCTCAGAAGAAGATTTAAGAGGGTTGCCCAAAGGAGAAAGATTACTAGTTACACCTTCAGCCTTGAAGTTTTGCCAGTATTCACAGCTTGTAAAGTTTTTTTTCTTAAAAAAAATGAAACAAAACAAAACAAAGAACCAGCAGGTGATGACAGGCAAAGTATAAAGACCTTCCATTTATCCTCCCAAATTGCTCCTTGCAACTTGCAAATTTTTCATTCTGTGTACCACACCAGCCACAGCTTAGTACTCTTTCTTTTCTCATAGGGCCATGTTTTCCCTACTTCTCTAGCCACCTTAAGAAACAAAAACATATATTTGTTATCTAAAACAAATAAATTCATCTACCACAATGGATTTCAGCAAATACTGAGTTCTGAGACTACTTCTGGCCTTTTTGAAACTGCATATTAGATACTTTTAATGGAGAACCATTCCTGATTTCAGGATCATTTCACTTTCTCTTGCATGTAGTTCTGTGCTAGATAATCTTAATTAGCATGAGCAAAGTTTCATTCAAAAGAAGAATAATCATGGTCGTGTCAAGTAATTCTCAAAAGTGTTCTTTTTAGACAAAGTTAAGGAATGACAACAAACATCATGGCCTATAGTAATTTTATATGATTATACAGTTGACTTTTACAGAGACTGATGTTTATGAGGAATTTTTAAAACAATTTTTATTCTATGTTTATATGATATTATATATTCAGACCCTATTCTCCATTCATTATTGAAATTGACAAAAACATTCATTAATCAGTTCTTTTATTTTGGTTGCAAGCTCAACTTTCATAATGTTGCCTGGATTATAACTCATACAAATGGAATTTATGAAATAGCTTATAACTGTATCATGGAATATACCTGTGCTGCGACACCCATTTGAATCCAAGCACTAAATAAGAACTTCTTTCATGCTTTAAGCTATATTTATATCTACTATTATTAACTCATTTGGCAGAGGCAAAAACAAGCATAACTCAGGGAAAGGGAACATATTTCTCTTTTCACACTGGCCTGCCTTTTACATAACCTTTTTGCTTCATCAAGAACTCAAAATATGTTCCACGTAAATGAAATGAAATGCTTTATTTAGTACGCTGCTCTACAGGAATGGAACACAGAAGTGAAGCTTGTATTACCTATCTGCTAAGTTAAATCTTACGCTCTTTTTTTTGTTGGAATGTACATTCTCTGTCTTTTCTTGGAAACCAGAAAATAAATGATTAAGAGTAAAAAGAGCAAAGCCAGTGCTGTCCTAAGAATACAGATCAGTAAGGCGGTAGTTAACAGGTGAATTTCTGAGTACTTTTCTGAGCTAATGCTATATTTTGGAAAAGTGGACCTCACACTGATAGTACAGTTTATGATATATGCAACATGAAGTAAACTGTATTTTATTTACTTTGCAAAGGAATATTCTCAATTTAAAGCAAGATGACCAAGGGAGCCTGTAGTTAGCCTCTGAATGTTATATACTAAAAAAGACAAACTTTCTTTCAGGACTCAGATAGAATGGACAACAACAGACAGCAGAGATACAGTTCTTTGCTCACATATCTCTATATCTGAAAAATAAAAAAAAAATCGTACAGATCATACCATGTGTCATTACCACTATTTTTCCTTATTCAGAGAATGACCAATTCTCAGTGACATTTGTTGTCAAAGTCGATAGATCCAAAATCCACATTTATGCTCCAGAATGCCACTGGAAGGAATTCAGTATCTTAAGATAGTTCAAGAATTCAGATATAACCATGTCTTTGATCCAATTGCATTATGGAATCTACTCTTTGCCATCAACCAAATCTGAAGCTACTTCAATTAAAATAAAATTTAATAGAGCATTAGTTCCTAGTCCCAAATGCAGCTGCCCAGTATCTGACACCATATGCTCTAACTTTTGTTGCAGTATCACTTTGTGATGCAAAAAGCTAATGCTATCCATATGAGTAAAAGGCAACTTTGAAACTGTGGATGGCTGTGTAAAAGCATTGAGTGCACACTGCTGAATGCGCAGAGCAATGAAAGAAAAAAAGTTGTTTATTCTTTGCAGTAAGACCAGTAAGTTTCAGTGTTGTCTAGACAATACCTCAGATAACCCATTATATATAATCCTGTATAGGTGGAAGCATGAGTGCTCTTTCATCAGCTTGAAATCCAATCAGCATCCATTACTTCCAGGCAGAGAGACAGGAAGTTGCAGGGTTTAATGGCCTAATTCACTTTCTATACCAGTTGTGTGTCCCAGCAGATATAGAAACCTACCAGATGGCTTCAGACACTAATGACTCCATTACTTATGATAACTCATCTTCCATTCCTGAGCTTCAGTACTGTCCCTCACCTCTTACAACAAGATCCATACAAAAAGATTGTCATTTTAGACTTACTTACCATTCATAGTACTTCCTTCCACTAGTATTTACCTGTAGCCAGGATATTTTTCTCTCCAACTTCATTTGAAACTAAGTAACAACAGTAACAAAAAGCCAACATAACAGTGGTTGATAAAATTATTGAATCATTTGAAAAGCAATTTATAGAATAAGATTGAGAAATCCTAAAAAGGGCAGAACTAGTATTTTTCACACCTGAAGGATTTTAAGAGAAATTTAGCATGAAATAATATGCTTGGTATGCAAATTTTGAGGAAAGGCTTTTGTGTTTCTGTTTTTTTTCCTTTTTCATGTTTCTCTTTCTTGCTCTGTGTCCTGCATTTGTCTTTCTCATTCTTGGGGCAGCTCTGGTAGGGATTATTGTCCAGGATCACAGAGAGTTATAATCACAGCTGACTTTTTATTGTACCCATAGCATTTGTTAAATATGCCTACAAATTGAGATAACTTAAAAAAATATCCTTCCTGCCATTCTCCCTGTGAAGCCTTTTTCTAGATCTTCTCAAAATTTGCACAATAAATCCTCCTGAACAAAGTATTAACTGCCTTAGTGTGTCTGCCCAGCAATTGGAAGGACTGTTGCTTTTGATTCTGAGTTTCAGGACTGTGGTTTCAGTGGTTTCTTTGAACTGTTTGCAGTGCTTACCTCTCATATCTTCCCTGAGATTGGACACGTAACACATCCTGGGATGTAAATAACCTGTGAAATCCTGCTCTTTGAATGAATGTACTACTTACAACTCTGTAAACAGAAAGTTTGGTTTGAGAGCAGAGTAGTAGCACTGAAAACAAGAGAACAATGTATTGCTGGAGTGAAAACAGGAGTAATAAGTAGACAGGAAAATGACAACGTGGTGTTTTCTCACCATGATCTTCTCAGCAAATGGTTCAAGAAGGCTATCAAACTGTGCCTATTTTTAACCCATTGCAAATCCAACCTTTGCCCTAAACCAGATCAGAGTTTTGATTTTTAAGGGAATCATCCTAACTGACAGCCACTGCAGCCTTAGAAAATGTACTCCTAATGTGTGCTCTACAAACACTTACATTTTGGCACATATATTTCATGCAAGAACTGATCCACTGTTCTGCTTTGCACTGTTTGCATTCAAAGACTCTCATTTTGCCTGAGAAAAAAAGAAAACAGAAATAAATAATCACAAAATAAAACGTGACCAGAGAATAATGCTCCCTGGTTGCTTTAGACCAGTAACAGCCAAAGCAATGATGAAACATTTCATGGATAAGAACGATCACTGATTGTGTAACATTCTACTACAGTGTCTTAATTATATTATGTCAAAATAAATTAAAATATCTCAATCCCTTTTTATATATAGTTTAGCATACAATCTAATTTTGGCCCTTTCTAAATGACCTCAGAAAGTCAGAAACGTTACTATTTCTTACTGATGCTGAACTCAGTGTTCAATACAGGCCTATTTCAAAGATAAATATGATCATTTATGTGTTAAAATGTAAACCAGACAGCATATTGTTTCAAAACCAGTTCCTGCTCCCTTGACTCTTCTCCTAATGTTTCCTGAAACGGAGATTCATTCTCAGACTATAAATATTCATCATAAAAAGTGTATCTGCATTTGTCTACTTGGTACACACATTTGTGTATCGGTAACTGATGCACACTACTTTTAAAAGTCTCACTTCTTCTCAAAGACAAAAAAAAACCCATGCATTTTCTCAAAATCATGTGTTTTACACAGGACACTTTGGAGTGTGATATCTCAAGAAGTTATTACTGCTCCTTTTAATGACATTAATAGTACCTTTAAAAGAACTGAGAAATTCTGTTAGAGAAAGGCTGAGTTCCTAATTACTCACTGAATGTTCTGCATTTTAAATAAAGCTAGACAGATTTCTAAGATTAATTATTCCCCTAGAGATCACACAATGGAAAAGAATAGTAACAATATTGAACACTTACATGCACACACACATTATCCCTTTATTTACAAGTACTTCGTTAAGAAGTCCACTCATTAGATCTTCTCAGTGTATGCATTATAGAGTAACTCTAAAATTTGACTAGCTTGTTTCTAAATATTTGCTAATGAGAGCTTTATTCAGCTTTGTAGCTGCAAATTTGCAAATTACCAGGTTCTGATAGTATACATCTGCAGTTAGTTCCTTTTAAAAAAGATTGGGGACATTTTGGAGTGTTGAACATGATTCAGACTTTAGTGTGCAATGATTTTAGAAATGCTTTCATTTTTCAACTGTAGTCAGTTTATATGAATGCAATTTCTGATTCAAATGAGATGTAGTTGGAAAGCATGCTTACTTTAAATTTTACCAAACTGTGTTACCAGCTATTTAGCAAATGAATAATCTATTTTACATAATTCATCTTGAAAGTTGAATGAGTATGTGTATTGTATCAATTATCACAGATCACCAGACATATACAATCTGTACATCCCATTAATCATCTTCACAGACATACTGGAAGGAGGCAAAGGTGAAGGAGCTCTCAAATCATACATGTATTGGAAGAAGAAATTCTGCCTCCGAAGTTAAAAGTCAAAATCATCCTTGAAACAATAATAATAAGTTTACTGAGTTTGTTTAAAATAAGCAAGGACAGAATTGTTATTTTTGATGCAAAAAAAGAGACAGACTACTTTCCTGAGTGCCATAAAAATAAACTATTTTAATAGCCACATAAATAAAAAGTTTAAAGTAGATTTTTTCCCCCCAAACACAAAGATGGCCTAGCTTCTGTACAGAAACTGAACAATATTCACGTGACTACTTAATTAAATAATCACTTTGTTACATTCAAAATAATTGGAGGCAAATACATATTGAAATGATGTACCTGAATCATTCTCCTCTCTCATCCTAGCAGTGTCTACAGCATTTCCTTGTTTTACAGTACTCTGAGGATTTGGATCTGTTGAACAAAACTCTGAATGACTGAGTGAAAATAAAATTAAAAATCAAAAGCAAAACAAACAACCCTTGCATCACCCACTAATTAAAGTTTGAATGGAAAAGAAGAAAGTATTGTGCTGTAAAATAAATTACGTCTTGCATGTTCTGTAGAATAGATATCTTAAAGTGTTTAAATATTACATTCACTTTGGTGATGTGCTTTTGCCTATGCCTATAATAAATTATATATGACATGTGCTAGTTATTCAGGTGTGCTGATAACAACCTTCTGGTTTTACTACAAATGAGGAAAGGTTAGCACATTTAGAGAATTTAAAAAGTATTTCTGGTTTACCTAAGAGAGACACTGTCTAATTCAAAGCAGCTTTCCTACTATCGTGTTTCTCTCCCCAGCACCCCCAAAAAAGATACTGTTGGCTTCAATTTTTGCTGTGTTTTATCAAAAAACGTCACAGGTTGGTGGCTAATACTCTCAGACCTACAGAAGTTTTCAAGCTTTGCTTTTCCTTTCTCTCTATGAATCATCTGCCATTCCAGACTCTCAAAAAATTCTAACTAATTCAGGCAAGGAACAATCATTTGTCCATCAAAAATGGGCCTTCTGAAGTTAGGAGTAATTGTGTTCTTATCTGGAATTTAGCTGTGATGGAAGAGCACCATTCTTCCTGCAGAGGAGAAAGTCTGTCACATGGATGTTTATGTATGTTTGATGCAGCGTCAAAATATCTCATCCTAGTGAAATTTGAGAACAAATTAAAAGATGACAGCTTTCCTCTATAGTGCAGAGCAGGCATTTCTGGTATATTGTCAGAATTCAAGGAATTTGGGCCAAGCTGTCTTAGGCTTGGCAAAAACAAGAATGCTGAAAGTCTATCCACCAGCAAGACGTGATCGGCAATGTAATGATTGTCCTTTTTTCCGATTTGCTTTTTTCTTGTTCTTGTCCTTCTTTTGCTTATTAGCACCTTTACTTTTATCTGACTTCTTCTTTTCATCCTCTTTAAACCATGGACCCCAGACTCCTCCATTCAGCTTTGGGTTACTCCGTGGATCCTTAGGTGGGTACCGAACAGGAACCGCAGTCTTATTAAACTGTGAAAGCCTCCTCAACAGCTGTTTCACTACATCAGGATACTTTGCAGAGAGGTCCACCCGTTCATATGGATCAGCAGTTATGTTGAAAAGCCACACAGTTTTGCCAGCTGACCAAGAAACACGTTCATTATGCCAGCGATTGGGGCCCATGTTGCTGAAGGCCTGCGGAGGAACCCAGTCACTATATCCTGGATTTCCTGTCAGTAGTTTCCAATGATTCACTCTGATGGCAGATTGAATTGCAGTGTTCCAGATCCCATAGCCAGCTGCCCAAGAACCATTTTTGGCTTTGGTGTAAATTGGGTCAATGTTGTGTAAGATGTCTACCCGTGGAGAACGTCTGCCTTCGCTAATGGTTTCCCATATATCATAGCCATCTAACTGGATATCTTCATCAATCTGTCCTTCAGCCAGTGTGATCAAAGTGGGGAACCAGTCCGTGATGTGCACAAGCTCCTTACACACAGACCCTTTGTTTTTCAGAAGGGGGCTGTGGACAAACCCAACAGCACGGATACCTCCTTCCCAGTATGTTCCTTTGCTCCCTCGGAGAGGCCAGTTACTTCCTCCAGCCATTGGCTGCCCACCGTTATCTGAAGAGTATATGATAATGCTATTGTCATAGTAACCGTACTTCTTTAGAGCAAGGGTTACGTTGTTTATGGCTTCATCCAAACAAGCTAGCATCGCAGCATATCTTCGCCTGTTTATGTTATTTATGGATCGATAATGTTCAAAATACTTTCCTGGTGCCTGAAGAGGCGAATGAACAGCTTGGTAAGCAATATATAAGAATATAGGTTTCCTGGGATTGTGAGAAGCTAATATTTGTTGTACTTTTTGCGTGTACATCTGTGTGGAGTAGATGCCATTGTCGTGATCCCAAGCTGCATTATCATTCTCATACAGGTCATAGCCACATATTCCAGGGCTGTCACATTTGAAGTGAGTGTAGTAGTCACCGCTGCCTAAGAGTGAGCCAAAGAAAGTGTCAAATCCTCTCTGTGTGGGCATGCATTCTCTGCGATAAAACCCCAAGTGCCATTTGCCAACCATGTGTGTTGAGTAACCAACCTCCTTCAGCTTCTGAGGTAGCGTGACGTTATCCAGAGGTAGGCAGTTGGGCTGGGTTGGCCGTATAATGGAGTGCTGAAGGCCGGTGTGTATCTGGTACCTGGGGGCAGGCAGGAGAGAGACATTTGCATCAGGCAGGGGGAAAAGGAAAGCCTCAAGCCCTTACCCATGGACACCCATGCATATAACTGATAGAAACAATTCTTAAGCATGAAGCAATTTTTATTTGAAACATTTCAGAGTGCATATGTCAAAAACTAACAAGGTTATACTACTAAATCTGCTGAAGCAGGAGAATGGCATCTGTTTTACTTCACGAGCATTCAAAAGAGTGGCTTCTCCCTCGCTGGCCACTGGGCAACAATACTAAACAAGTAACATGACACAGCACATCACACACTCCCCTCCCTTTTGGCCTCATTTTTAGCATTCTGATTTCCTTGTAGCTGTGAGCAGTGTCAGAGAATCTCAGAGGCAACAAGCTCCCTGCAAAGCATTAGTTAGGCATTACTATTTTAAAGCTAGCAGTCAAACTCACAGACTTTTCCAGTATCCCTCATGTATAATACAAACCCTAAAAAGCAGAATGATTGCATTGTATTTTTGAGCATGAATAAGTACCATAGCCCTGACTCAGGCCCAGTTCTCACAACATGCACAATCCTGAAGCCCCAATGATCAGACTTCTGGTGATTCATCATGCAACATGCATATGGGCTATGATTTAGTAGAGACATTGCTAATGTTATAACAACTGAGTCAGTCATCAGCACACACGTGATGGGGCCTGGCTCTGCATCCCTTGGAGTCCGGAACACCTACAGTCCCATGCTGTGACGTTCATTTCCTAAGGAAGAGGTGTAAGCATGTACGGATGGTGAGTTAGGTTTGCCCTAACTAAAAGGAAATTTACAGTGAAAGATGTTTATGAGAAATCACTGAAAAGAAAGTGATAATTTAATCACGGATCTTTTGTTCAGCACTCATTTTCTGTCTATGCCTAACATTTCTCTGAAATGTTTCCTGTCAGAAACTGAGTTAGTCTAAATATCTAGATATACAGGAGCACTGACATTTTGAGATACATATTTTTTTTCTCCACAGAAAGCTTTATCATGTTACCATTTCACAATGATTATGAAAAAATATTTGGATGAATACAATTTTTACAATACCTCATGATTTGATAGTGGTAAACATATATATACCTATACTGCACTTGGCAACTGCAACAATAGTATATTTAAAGGATGGGATAATAAATCCTGCAGCATAGTCTGTGAGAAAAGAATACGTACAGTATCCATAACATTAAAAAACAAATTCAGCATGGGCAGTAGTAACAAAAATTAAGCACAAGTCAGTTTTTAACACTTAGACACTACAAATAAAATTGATCAGCACATTATAAACTAAAAGAGGCTTCTCCCTGATTATAAGAACAGACAAAATTCTCAGACATGAGTAGAACTGCTAGGTGCCTCGCCACTGTGAATCCGCCTCAAAAATACTTTTACTATTTTGTGGTAACAGAAGTTGGGATTTTCTGACGCATTCTGCTAATACTGCCAATCTGATTGGCCTCCTGAGCTATCTACAGAATTAAAAACATTAAGCTCTGCCTTCCCATAAATAACCTAGTCTGCTTCTATATGATGTCTGCCTGGACAACATCTTAGTAGGCAACATGGATGTTCTTAATGCCTGCCAAGCTGTAATAATTGTGTTAACTTCCATCTTATTCTTGGACTTTCGTTATTTTCACAGAACCAGAAGCTGTAGTCCAACTAAATAACTGCAGAAGCTTTGGGTGTTGTGCTCCTCTGCTTTAAGCAGCGCTGCTTCCCTCTGCCTCTCTGGAACTTTTTCAGAGCATTGTTTCTATCTGTAACTAGTTTGTGCATCTGGAGCCCTGCCATCCAACTGTCCCAAACTCACAGGCTGGTGCTGAGACAGGACAGACTGCATAGCAACAGAGCACTTCCAAAATAATGGGTTTCTGGGCCTTACACTTTACTTCCATGAAAGAAATGTCATGCATGCACAAACATCCACATCATTTCCATGATTAGTTGCATTTTTCTTTCAGAACAGGTAAACTACAGCAAGGAAACCACAATGAATAATGGAAATGCCCCATATTTCAGTTCACTATTTCTTTGAGATCCCACAGGGTACTATGCTAAGAAGATATTTAATTTCCTTCCCCTTCTCTGTCCCCCTGCCTTGTTCAACTCTTTCAGCAAATTCCCCTGATTGGATCTGACTGAAGCTCCCACGCTGCTACTCTAGCGCACAGACCTTGCCTTCTCCATCCCTGCCAGACTAAAGATCACCACCCAGCCCCAGTTGGGCAGTTTCTCCCATTACACTGATTTTGCTGGCATTTGCTGTTGGAATTTTCTTTACAGTGATGCTGGAGTAATAGAGACCCTGCTAACTCTTTGACAGACAAGCAGAATGTGAGGGGAATGAGTAACAGCACAGCACACTGCAAACTAAGCTGCTTCCTGACAAAGCTTACACAGCAAGTATGAAACTCATACAAAGTTAATTCACATAAAAAAATCATAACCAACACAGAGATTTCCCAGCTTTTCAATTATACATCCAAGCATGAAATTCCTACACTGGCTATTTGAAAAACATTGAACTAAAAAAATATCAAGAATTAGCTTCAGTTATTAGACATTATTCTTAGTTATTACACATTATTCTTAGTAAAATATCTGAAATACAGCAGTGCCCCTTGTTGCAGTAAGTTATTCAGCATGCTGGTTATAATACACACAGAACAGTCTTGCTCAAATTCTGCTTCACATACTTCTGGTATGTTTCCCATATGTGTATGTGTCTGGTATTTATGGCAGATACGCTTCTGGATATACATACATGCACACATACAAATAGGTACGCATATGTAAATTGACTTACGTAAATAATCATTTTTAAGATAGAATATTTCAACTGCAGAAGTGTCTCAATGCAATTGCAGCCTATAACTATCAGGACACTCTTCACTATCACAAAAGCGGTCAGGATTTGCTCACTTTTCTGTGCCACATGCCTTTCTAATAGATCCATTATGTGCCACTATTACTTTTCCAGTGAAAGGATTATATTTTCAAAGGACTTTCAGATGTTTCATGAGAAAACAAAGGAATCTGAGCAAAAGACAGTGATTATATAGAAATAAACTGCATAAGTAGCTAAAGGAAAAATATTGCATCATTATCATTTTGAAACTGTATTTAGACTGCGCAAGGGAAGAAAAAAATGAGCATGGCAAAAAATAAAGGAAATAAGAGGCACATGCTAATACTCTGGGGGAGTCCCCTAGACTCTAGTGCATGAGCTCACTATCTGCCAAGATATTTCTGTGGAATACATTTTGTAGATTTCATAGTTTCCCACCACCAACTTGCTAATTCTTCAAAATGCTTTGGTTGAATTTAATCCTAAATACAGAAAGCAATTTATGATAAAGAACAGCCTGGAGCTCCTCATTATAATAACATTAGTAACCAGGCCAATACAAATAATAAATAATTTAATAATAATAATAAAAAATATAAACGCTGATGAGTTGCACAAAGTAATTGTCCTGTTTTTCAGACTTTGACCTCCGTGGACAGTATTTACATTAAGGTGAAAGAGTGACAGTACTCTGCAAAAAGTGTAGGTGTCCAGGACTTGTGAATTCTTCATGTCCACACTGTCTTTTCTTCCACCCTGCCCCTTGAAGATTCTAAGCCATGTCTGTGCCCACTAGATATCTGAAATTTGAAAAATGCCTTCTGTTCTTGTTTAACAACAACACCAACATAAACCTAACTAAAAATTATTTGAAATGTTCAGTTAATAACATACCTACTGAAAATTATAAATTACAAAAATGTTTTTGTTATTATTCCTCACCACCTGGGCATGTTTCTGCATGGTGGATTTTCTACTCTTACTTTGATTTTATTGGTGTGGAAGTTGTTCAGATGTTTACAGTAAAAACACTGCAGTAACTGTTTCAGCTAAGGCAGCTGTATAGTGCTAGCTGACTGTTACAGCACTGTTCATTTGCTTGTAGTGGAAACTTGAGAGCCATGGCCTCCCAGAGAAAGTATCTTGGTGACTTTGTACGACCTTTGGTTCTTGAATGCCGAGAGAAATATTTTGGAGGTTTCTTAAATTAAATCAACAAACAAGCAAATCCTTCATCCTGGGTTTGATACTGCTTTCCACCATGATTTCCTTTCCTGTTTCACTCTACAAGGACACACAGCTAAGCCAAAGACTTGTATATTACTCCTACTATCTCTCTCAAGGTGCAGTGACAATTAAGTTGCTAAAGCACCTGAACTATATGTTCAGGCGCTGGAGTCTTTGTGGATATAAATCCCCACGGAGACACTACAGACATTTTGACCTGAAATTGAGGAATGCATGAACATTTAGAGGTCTAATTTCCTATTTCTGATGTCCTCAGTAATGATAAACTACTTTTCCACTTCTCATCTGAAGAACAAACCAAACTACAGAAGTAGATCAATGATACTGATATTTGTATGTTTTCACTGCTATTCACTGAAGCAGAGAGCAAGACTAAAGGTCTGTAAGAGAAAGAAGTTCTCTTGGCATGTCTCAACCCCATAGTGCTTATGGGGTCCAAAACATATGTTCATCAAACCAGTTCTCTTTAAAAACATCTCAAGGAGTTTTCTATTGAGCACTTTCCCCTTAACTTCATTGTAGGCTCCCCATCAAGAAAGAAGCTCAGATGTTTTTATTTTGTAATGTGAATGTAACAGACTATTAATTTTAAGCTTTTGTAATTTTAAAATACTGCATTAATTGTCTTCAAACCAGGATTCTTTCAAGGCTCACTTAAGATTACCAAAGAAGCACAGTTTTAAGTTCCTAATTTCAGGGACTTTTGCTAGCATGTAGAAAACTTATATTTATTATGTTTGCACATCTTAGGAAACAATCAATCATGGAATTGCTCAGGTTGGAAAAGACCTTAAAGATCATCAAGTCCAAGCACAAACTTATCATACTACCCTAACTCTAACAACCTTCTGCTAAATCACATCCCTGAGCACCACA